ACTATAGCAGCTTTCATTTGATAGAAAAACGATACAATGGCACTTCGGTAACTTTTATTATTTCAACAGTTTTATGACCCATTCCCCTAATGCTAAGACTAACGAGGTACGGTTGTGGTGCTATCTTTCTTTTGACGGTGAATTCCATACTTTAGCGCAATATTTGTATACTTAAGTATTTATTTATTTTAAAAAAAAATAACACTAGAGGTAGCTCCTGAACTAGTCCTGAATCTACTGAAGAAAGAGTACTGAGAGAGTCACCTCTAGGCAAATTTCTATATTGTAAATTTTAATAAAAAAGAGTTTTTAAAAAGTGACTACCTGAGACTTTTGGTGTATTTTTAAACAAGTGGTTTTGTAATGGCAGTAATAATACTTGTAACCCACATGTTTATTCTCTCTAGCTCATCTCTTACTCATAACAACAACAATATATTTCTTTTTAACACTAATAAAACTATGAATTAAAAAAAATAAAAAAAAACCCCTCCTATTTATGAGATTCTTTAATATTTATGAAAAATATTCTATTTACACTATATTTATAAACGTATATATAACAAAAAAATAAAAAAAGATAAGATCTCTTAACATAGTAGTGATCTGATACTCATTTCTATTTTTCTGTTTGGAGCACTATTTACAGGCGCAGAATCTACCGGACCAAATGGAGCCGCTCTTCGAGATAAGGACTGAGCAGCAGAAGCAGCCGCATTCAAAGTACTACTTGACGTTTGCAAAAAATATTGCTGTGTAGGATGAGTGACTTGCGTCGAAGAAGAAGGGGGACCACCTGTTAATCGAATGGGAGGAAAGCGGGTGGATAAAGTATTTGAAGTTTCTGAAGCCTTGAAAAGCCGTCCGCCAATAGGGAGCGTGTGATATTTGGGAGTGGCTCCATCAGTAAGTGGTGCAATATTAAACTTGGGTAACCCATTGCTACTACTGGGACTATTGTTATTCTCTTTTTTTGGATCATGAGAACCTTTCATAAATGACATTTGCTTGTGGTTTATTAGTGGCGTGAGTTGTTGCCTCTCATGTTGCTGCTGCTCCTTTATGTTTTCATCAAAGTTAAATATCTCGGAGAGTGAACCCATTCTCTCTTGCTCTGTTTGCTGTGACTGCTGCATCTTTAGCTGTTGCTGCTGATGATGTTCCAACAATTTCCCAGGAGAATCCAGTGAGGAAGGTGTGACAGGTGAAAGCATTGGAGAGAAGACATAAAAGCCTGATGAGGATGATGGTGTTTGGTGGTTTATATACTCATCCTCATTACAATTATAAGGTGTCTTTTGAGAGACCTCATATTGATGTCTTTTAAATTGTGCAACAATGTATTGTTTTGGAAAACTCGAGACATCATAAAGATCTGCTCCCAACCCACCTCCAATATGGACGAGCACTTCGTAAAGCTCAAAATCGCCCGACCGTTGCTTAATATGTATTGTGTCCGAGAATGACCTTGCTCCATTGGCTATTATTTTTAATTGGCTATGATTGGTGCTACTAAATTTCTCAGATGTGCTTCGTTCAGTTGGCGGTAAAGATGTCATATTCACATTACTCTTTTTAAAAAACTCGGTCGCATTATCGAGTAAAAGTCGATGGAGTCGAGCAAGACGGTCTGAGTCTTTTGGTGAAATAAAGTCGTAAAGGGATCGATGTGAAAGCTCCTGAGGGTAGTAGCCCCAGGCCTTAATGACCTGATCCGAGACTTTAGCACAACACACTTCCATTGACATGATGATAGTTATATTGCTATCATCTGTAGATACAACATTGATGGTATCGGTACTAACAGCAGGCTGGGGAGAGGTGCTATTTATAGCAGTCATCTCTGTAGTGATACTGCTGCTGTCGGTGGCGAGAGCGGGAGGGGTGGTAGTATTCATAGTGGAAGTAGTAGTTGTTGTTGTTGTAGCAGTAGAAAGAGTAGTAGTTGAAGTATTAGTAGGTCTTGGTGGATGTAAAGATATAGGGGTATTATTACTATCATAACTATTAAATGTTGATTCATTGATGACAGACGGTGGTTCACTAGGTGAATTTGGTGGGTAATTGAACGTATTTATAGCGTTGGTAGTCGGCAATTCATGTATAAAAGGTTGGGGGTTAGCGGATAGTCTTACAACAGGCAAGGGTGGCTCTAGTGACGTATTTTTACTACTAGTATAATTACTATTACTATTACTATTATTATACGATGGTTCCTGTGATCTAAAAGACTCGATAGGTTCATGTATAAATGAAATGGTCGACTGTTGTGGTTGAAATTGTGGCTGTTGTTGTATTTTTCTAGGCGTTTGCTGTTTTGGTGGAGTAGCAGGAGTTGGTATTGCCTTCATTGTAATAGCGGGCGTCTGAACAGTGCCGTAAATAATTTCGTAGTTATGTTCATTGGTGGAATAAGGTTTTTTATCTTTAAGTTTAGGTCGTCCTCTTTTCTTATGTTGCATATCGTGACATGTGTCAGCTTTATTTAAAGAAACGCACCTTCGACATGGTCGGGATACTATTTTTTTAAGATGGAAAAGGATTAATTTAATATAAAAATAAAAGTTTTAGAACAGTACCATCACATGCTAAATGAGCATTTTTACAGTTCACACCTAATAGAAATTATAAAAAAGAAAAGTCAATATAAAAACTTCTTTTTTTTCTAATAAGATATCCTATTTCCACTTACAAGCACTTGGAACATGTGTTTTATATCCTCTTTTCGAGGGTACTGCAGTTGCTTTGGAATCAACGGTGCATTCAGCTGGTTTTCCCATGGAAGTACATCCTCTACAAGGCTGATTACCTAAATCGGATCAATCTAATTAAACTTTTTTCGTATAAAGAAGAGACTATAATATCAAAAGTACCATCACATTCTCTAACAAACTTTTTACATTGGTTGCCTAGAAACAAAATAGTAATATAAAAAGTGGGTTGTGTTTTAATAAACAAGATAAATACATAAACAAATAAAATGTAAAAGACAAGTTACAGGCTTTTGAAGTATCCAAGTGTGTTTGGCTATTATTATCTATATTAAACTGAGTTCGTATTATGCTTTCCATTGACATACAGAAGGAACAGTAAAAAAGAAGGGAAAAAAAAAATGAAACAAAAAAAACAAGAGGTTTTAAAAATGAAAAGGCAATAAAGTCACTTTCATAATTGATGGAAACCAATGTGACTCCGATTCCCCACATTTAATCATTTAAACTCTAAGTAAAAACTATCTTTACAACTTGTTAATACATTAAGCACTAAGCAGGAACTAAAGGTATCAGCACAACTAGAATATAAATACATAACGTGTATTTATAAAGAAAGATTCGTCTATTGTTAATAGTTATATATATATATATATATACTTCATCTGGTATTTTAATGACCGATACTTCGATTCTCACACTGCAATTTTAACCATTTTGAAATCCTCATCAAGTGTTTAATTCTCCCGCACAACCCATTTTAGGAAGGTGTTGGCACTCTAATAATAATACTATACACTGGAAACACTTATTTATATATTTGATATATTGTGCAAGCTAAATGATTGATTGGTAGAATATCCTCAGCAGCTATAATTTTTATTGGGATTTGTAATATATTATAGAATATTCGTTCTTTATACTATTTATAATAGAGTATGGGATTAGATTACTGTTTATTTCAACTAATAATTGAGAAAACAGATAATATATCATACAACAACAAAAAAATATTTTAGTGAGTGAATAAATAACGAGACAAGCTATAACGTAGCAAGAACAGGATATATAGAATAATTATCAAATATAGAGAATAGACCAAGATGACAGTGGTGAATTTAGCAGATGATACCCAAAAGAGGCGAATTAGTGCGCCATCTTTCGTTGAGATAAGTATTTACACCTGTGATCGTCTACAGGTTAGGCCAGCTATAACTGAATATTTGTCCAAGTGCTTAAGCATACGAGATTAGCTCCTCTATTCATTTTCAATGATTTAAAGATCTTTTCTTAGCAGTTTAAATTTTTTCGTCGTTTTCATGAAAAAAGACAGTACAAGAGATTTATTTGATCATGTGTAGTGGTAACACTATAACATATTCGTATCTGATTTACTTTTGCTATCGCTTGTATTCTCTAGAGTTACCATATTACTTTTTTTAAAATGTTAATGTACAGGCTACACTTTTTTTGCTGTTAGATTCGTTTATCTTAAACATGAAAAATGCTGCAGTATTGCATCCTCTTTTTTCTCTCCTTTATATTGGAAAAGAAGAATGGAAAACAAGAGTAACTTGCTATTCGTAATAAACATAGTAAAAAGCTCTAATAAAATTTTTATAGAATTCAAATTCTCTCTTGATGGAGAAAACAAGACCCTTCAGTCATTTCATGATTTAAATATGTTTCAATTTTCTAATGGCTCTGTATCATACAATATATAGCTAGAAAATAAGTATTTAAGGCATTTCCTTTTGTTAAATCGTCTGCTTCCTGTCTAGCCACCTAATATCACTTTATTAAAATAAGATATGTTCTTTTTTCTATTATTATTATTCAGATAAGCTCCGTTTTATTACAGGAAATTTGAACATACACACTGGGTCTGTCATCAATAGTATCATTAGAAGCCATTAGCATAAGGTAAGATTTTTTTTTTTTTTGAGTAAACTAGAATCTGATAATTTTTTATCATACTTGAAATAATCATACAGTTTGGAGTTTAAATGCTTCGTAAAACTCTCATAGTTCGTTTCTGTATCCTTTTTGTTCCATATTAGACTCTTTTTCTTTTAACTTGGAATAGGTGATAGTTAATAGAGCCATAAGAAACTCTAAAATATAAAATTCAACAAGATTAATATGAATAAAAAATAGTAAGCCAAGAAGGGTATAATTGTAGATATTTAGAAAGATATTTATTTAGCCCAAAACTTAAAGAGAATAAGATACAAGCCCTATTTGAAAACAAAAAAGTTTATTGTGTAATTCTTACCAATAAATGAAAATTGCCTACTGTGTGAATCGAACACACGTCCTTTGCTTTACGAGAGCAACGCTCTGCCAACTGAGCCAAGCAGGCAATTCTTGGCGGAGAAGAAAATTGTTAGTATTAGTTGATATTATATTTCCAAAAAAGGAAATTTTTATATAGGTGAACTGTAAGCTGTTGTTCTTATAAACAATAAGTTGAAAATAAACCAAATACTGTTTTTTTCAAGAAATTGAGAAAAATAAGGTAAATAAAGGCAATAAAAAAAGCAAAAAAGCAAAAAACCAAAGCATGTTGTCAATACCATGAAATGGAAGGAAGTTGACGATAGATGGGATCCATTCAAATGCTTAAACATGTCTTCTTGTCATTGGGTTGGATCATGAACTTATCTCCCTTTAGTCCTCTCACCTTAGTCTTCCTTTTTAGTCATTTTTTTTTGTCTCATTACTTTGAAACTTTTTCTCATTTTCTTGAAAAAGAAAATGCATCATAAATACTTTTAATTTATTGCTACAAAAAATGGATGGTTGTTTATGTGAATTTATTTAGTATCAAACTTTTTTGATCTACATTATAAACTCTCTGTGTGATATTCCAGCAATATTTATTAAAGGACTTCTGAGGAAGGCATTTTGAAATAGTATTTCTTTCTTTTAGATTTATATAAGCTTCTTTACTTTTAATCTTAAAATGATCCCCACATTCAAGTTCATAAACTTTTTTTTTTTTGAAAAAAGCAATTAAACGTCTTTATTTATCATGTAAAATCAGTGCTTCGTAAGGTGAATGGATAGTACTTGGAATAGGTGAAAAAAAAAAAAAAGTTATTGATTGAATAACCTGTAAGCTTCTGCCTCAGATTCTGATCTGTTTGTTAATTTAGTGTTAATCCAACTATGTAGATTGAATATAGATGTTGATGAATTGGGCTTGTTTGTATGTCGGATAAATGTGTCTTCAGTGCCAATGATATAGAACATATGATAAGTATTCCGGCAGATTTTGTACTGCATACCCGACCTGACTGTGATGTTCTTTATGTTCTGAGTCTTGTTTTTTAGATTTCTGTATATATAGATAGACAATTGTTAAAGAGCTCATTAGGTGGAATATTATCATTAACATATTAATAATACCTCTTTAAAAACCGTTGTTTTAAAAGATCTTGATTGATTCCTTTGGTTTCGTTAGCCCAGTCAATGTAATTTGAAACATACATATCGTATCCGCTTATGCTTTGGTCAATATTTATAGTGTCATTATTGTCTCCTAGCAGTTGTATATTTAAGGCTCTATCGTTCAGATTCTAACAGTTACAAGAAAAATATTAATATGATGATCTGGAAAGAGATAGTAGTTATAAAACAAAACAAAAAACTCACAAAGGCCATATGATATGTATTTTCTAACTGCTTAATTACTCCTGCTACTCGCGTTCTATAGGTAATAAGATCGTTTTGATTTTCAACTTCAGCTTTATGCTCATGTTGAAAAACTTGGAGCAGTTCTTGAGATTGGGTATCAGTAATAACAACATGAATCTAATAATAATAATATAAAGAGCATCGTCATTAGCCATATATATATACTTCCAGATAATAGGAACTTACGTAGCGTAATATGGAAAGTACAAGTTTATCAATAGTAAACATAACGCAGGCGCTATTTCCAAATATATAACGTGTAGATGCTTCAAAAGTTTGCTGATCCAAGTCACCTTCAAAAAGTTTGTCCACCAAAGATAATAGTAATTGATAATAGCCTTTCTTTTCGTCCATGTTTAGAGCTTTGAATTTTCTATGCGTAATACCAAGATTGTATGCGTCATTACGCGCATCAACCACTTTTTCTGGCTCCTGTTTAAATTCCAAATCTAGCTTCTTCATAGTATAGAGGCGTTCATACAGTGTTTGATATAATCGAAAGAAACAATAAAATCCATTATTACCAAAAAAGTTGTACACTTTTTTAGTCTCTGATCCAGGCTTTATCTCCTCTTCCACTTTTGCTGCGTCAGTCATGTTTGGTGTGTTTGATCGTTTTTTCAATTGGAAGCGTTTGGATCTTCTTTTACGACCCTCCTCATCTTCATCTTCGTCATCTTCTTCAGCATCGTATTCTTCATCTTCTTCATCTTCTTCGTCGTCATCCATGTCATCGTCGTCGTCATCCTCGTCATCTGTAGAATCAGTTGACTTTTTCTTGTTGTTCAAATTACGTGTCAACACATCTTTAAGTAATTTATCATCATCTTGTGGTTGCGTTCTTCCTCGTCGAAGTCTTCTATTCGCTCGGGCTATTGCCGAATTCTTCTTAACTGATTCAGAATCTGCAGAATGAACAGATGATTTATCATCATCATCTGCTTCCATTAACTGAGTGGTATCCATGGTTTCCACAATGGAAGGTTCAACATCGCTGACATCAAAGTAAGCTGGTATAAATGTGTCAATAAATTCGCGCATCAAATCACAATCTTCAGTATTGTAAACAGGCTGTTTTTCTAAAAAGAAACAGATCATACGGGCGATATCCTTAAAAATAGCAGTATCACCAAACGAGTAACTAAAGTGAGGGTTGCCTTTTTGACATCTCCTTTCATCAGCCTCTGCCACCAAACAGCGGGCAGTCAAGTTCTTTTTATCAGCCAACTTAAAAGCGATGCCTTTGTAATCAAGCGATTTCTGATAGTTTTTAGCTTCAACTTCTCTCCATATTTTGTTCCATTCACGCTGTGCTCTCTTCCATTCATCATCTTTTTGCTTCAATCGTCTGAGTAATATTGGCACTGTTTGAACGGGGTTACTGTACATAAGATCAATGATTTCGTGACCCTTTTCGTTGCCATAGATTTTCTTTATGATACGGCGATTGCTTGTAGCACACGGTCCAGGGGACGACAGCTTGAATGATTGTTTTTCTTGAACTGAGAATAAGCTGATTTTCTTTACAATAGGTTCCAAAAGTGCAATCGTATTCAAATTGGCCTCGATATTTAAATCGTAATCATATCGTTCTTCCTCCACACGATGGAGGGCTTCTTCATATTGGTTCTTTTTTGCAGCAATATAGCCTGTATCTTCACTGGACCATGTAGGACATGACATGTAGTTATCGTTAAGCACATCCCAACACAATGCATCTCTACCAGAACACACTGGACCTTGCCATGATCGAGATATCGGGCGATAACTAGGTCCACAGATATACGCGCGTTCATTCTCTAACATGCTTGATTTCGTACTTTGCTTCTCTCCTCCTCCCAGTGGTACATTATTTATAACATGATCCTCTTTTCCTTCGTAGCCAATCAACTCTTTAAACCAGTCAAATAATTCCTTATTGCTACCGATAAAGTTTTCTACGCGGTTAACAAGGATATCTTGATCGACCATTTGTTGGCTAAACAGGTTTAGCACCTTTACAAAAGCATTATAGGTTGCTTCATTTGATATAAAGGCCTTGACTCTTTTAAAGAATTCTGTTTCATCTTGAGTGAAATTGATTTTGAATTGTTCTTTTATATCTGATCGAACATTTGATGTTTGTACTTCTGGTATATGCCTATTTTTTGATCTCTAAAGTTGTGTTGTTATGTAATTAGATTTGAATGCATAGAAAGCGAAAAACAAAAAGCAAAAAACATTACTTTTGAGGAGGTATTCATGGGCATGAGTGCCAACCTTTTCTTTCTTTGCTTAGTTTCAGGTAGGAATTGTTTAAATTCTTTCAAAAGTTCGTCAGAGTCATTGAATAAGACCTGAATTTCTGCAAAAACCTATCATTTATGTACATTAGGTCTAATTTTTATAAAAGATATTTTTACTAATGATTACTTCTTGAATAGGCTTCTGATTTTTCTGATAAGACTGGAGAATATCTAAAAATTGTTTATATACTTCAGGTTCATTAGCAAACTGGCTTTTGATCTTGTTGACAAAAGTAATGGCATGGTTAAATTCAATGGGTTCTTTTCGCTCTTGTGGTGGTTGCTTTGAATTCGAAGTTAAATGAAGTTGCTCGCCATCGGCAACAGATGTAACACCTGTTGGTGTCGTCACTTTAATAATATGAGCATTATCTTCAACTAGACATTCAATATGATAGCCTGGTGGTAAGAATGTATTGAATCCAGCTATAAGTAAAGGAAAGCCTTGAAATAAGCTAGAAACACGTTCAATAACGCCTGGTGTATCAATGCTAAATGATAAGTAAGCACCTTTATGTAAATAGCTTTTTCATAGTTGAAATACCGTTGACTTTTAAATTCTTTCATAATATCTAAAAATTGGTGATAAATGTCTGGCTGTGAGATGAAATTAGCCTTTATTTTGTCCAGGTAGCTTAATGCATCCTTGACATTAAGCGGACGGAATTCTTCTACCGTTGTGAAAGGATGACTGTAGTCGTGAATAGGTTGGTATTCCTTCCTAGACAGACTATTAATAATGTTAAACCAATGGCAAAAACAGAAGCTTGCCTGACTTCCTCTTGAATATCTACTATCATTATTATATATAAATTATATAAGCATACGCGTAAGTAGGGAAAAAAGAGAAGCAAAAAATACGGAAACAAATGTTTGGGCTCTTAAAAATATTCCCACGTGATTCAAGATCTCCGGAGTTTTATTTATGCGAATATCAGAAAAGACAAATAGTATCGATAGCATCAGTAACGGATTATCACTTACACAACGAAAAATGATTTATACTTACCAGTGTTAAGTGCACCTTATGGTTAAGGCACAGCGATAACTGGCTATGGCACAGAATCAGATCGTTACAAAACGCGACGTTCTTTTTTTTAAAAAAAAATGGTAACCAGAAGTAGAAGTTCACTTGTAGATTATTAGTGACTTGGGATAAAGTGTGAAAAAAAATCTAGATGAAATAGGTAAACCAACTATGAATTATAGCATAATATATCTCACCTGGTCCCCACGTCAGGAAACAAAGAAAAAAAGATGAAACTTGAAATTACTTTTAGACTATGCACTTGGCTGGAATACAATTTGGTGACAAAGTCTGCAGATTTCAAAAAATAATAGTCTTTAAATATCACTTTCTTTCCCTCCCTGAACAACT